GGGGCGCGGGGGGGGGGGGGGGGGAGGGGGAAATTAGGCATTATATGCCTTCTTCTCTTCTATTTCATTCAATTATACTTATGCATGTTTTTTAAAGTAAGGAAACAGAAAATATGATGAGTGGTACATGAGGAATTCTGATTTATAGAACTAACTGTTTAAATCATTAATGGATGATCATCTTGAGCTTTGATGCGTATATTTGGAAAGAGGTAAACTGCATACTGAATCACGTATGATTATTTTTCCAAAAGGGAGTAAAATAAATATATTTTTCTCAAATGACTCTTTTGTCAATCAGCTATGTAAAGGTTTAGCCAATTGCAGGTTTTAGAACTGGAATAATTTCATTTCTTGATCTATTATAAAAATGTGAATTTAGCTTGAGAAATTAAGGGACAATAAATATGGCTTTTATTGGTGGGGGGGGTTTTTGCTTTGTTGTTTTTATGTGCTTGAAGTGAAGGGGTGACTTTTTGCTTCGTTGCTTGAATGTTTAGGTTAACTCCTGCTTTCTTCCTCTCTGGGCTCCATTGAAAGTTTCTCTGCAAGCTTTCTAATGAGTTCTGCCAGGTCTTCTGTGTTCTGAGATTTTTCCTCAAGAAGTTCGTAACGGAGACTTGAGATGTCCTGTTTTATTTCCTTCAGTTCACCTAGGAGAGAGAAGATTAAAAGTTATGAAGCAAAAGAAAAGCAGAGTATAATCAAAGTTTTTATGGTAACTGTAATTTAGTGCTAGACCATCACGTGCATGGATTTTCTCTGTCTAATTAGAAAGGGTAGGAAGTTCAGCTGCCTCCATGGCCTTGTGCTCTCTCTGAGGTCAGGATCCACATGAGGAGATGGGACAGTCTGGGATGAGGAATATGGGAGTGATAGGGGACACATCATATGTCCAAAGAAGGAACCTGCTCCATGCATATGAATCCTGCTCCATGTAGCCAAGGAGCTTGGTATGTTAGTGCCAAGAATGTCAGAGCCAGCTGACAGGGAGCAGGGGATCCCAGAAGTATCAGAAGTCTATTTCTTTCCACAGATTCCCTTGATTCTGCACAATTTGTGGGCAGAACAGCAGCTTTTTCACATAGGGTGGGGGGTGGGGGTACAACCACAGAATGATTGGGGGCAATGTCACAAAGAAAACCTATGGAGTTCACTCTCTCCAGAGGCAATTCTTTGGGAAGTGTTGTACTTTTGTGGAAAAGGGCGATATTAACTCAATTTGAAATATTTTATTTTATAAAAGAGATACATCAACTAATGTTGATGTAACATGCCTGATTTAACACCACTGTAACAAATTCCATGAATGAATGTCTGTGAATAAACTACCAGTGTCATCTTATCAGAAAACTGATTTATTTAAGAACAGTTTTGAACCAGGCTTGTGCATAAGAAAATGAACCCCATTTATTAGAAGATAGATGTTTCCTGCTTAAAGAAAGAGAACCTGGCTCTGAACTGAAATAGTATACTAGATTTCCATTAAAATATCACTAGTTTAAAAACAATGGCTGGCTGTGATAGCCAGCTTTTTCCTTCTCCCTTCTGCGGTGCACCCAAACAGATGACAAGCTTTCATGTTTTTGATCATTGGCAAATAGGCAGAGGCACCTGAAGAGCTAAATACTGCTGAGCTGCATTTCTCCATAGCTATGGCTACATCAGAGAGTTTACAGTGACACAGCTGAACCAATATTGATGTGCAGTTTTAAGCTCTCTCATATAGCCACTGTAAGGCCTTGTCTCCATTTATCAGAGGATTGACACTCCATTGATCAATCTTCTGTGGTTCAATTTAGTGAGTCTAGTTAAGACCTGATAAACTGAATGCTGAGGATGCCCCCCTCGAAAGTGGTACTCCTTTCTGTCATGAGGAGTAAGGGAAGTTAACAGGAGTGTTTCTTCCATTGACCTCCCGCTATGGGGCCACCCCAGAAAATTGATGCAAGGTATGTTGACTCCAGATATGCAATTCAAGTAACTGGAGTTGGGTATCTTGCATCAATTTATCTCTGCCAGTGTAGACCTGACCTAAGATGACAGGAAAGAGCTCTCCTCTCAGCTTAATTACTTCAACACCCACAAACATCGGTAGCTGTGTCAGCAGGAGAAGCTGTTCTGACTCCACAATGCTGTGCACATTGGCACTTAAGTGGAGGTGGCTAATTCATGACCCGAATGAAATAACATACATTGATTAAATTTGTAGAGGAGCCATAATCTTTATCTGCATCATCTCCTGAACCACAGATAAAGAACTTTAGTACAGAGGCATAGCTCTACATTAACTTTCCAGGTACAAAGGAGGCAATATTCTGCCCAAAAAGGCAGGGCCAATGCATATCTATGGATGGAGAAAGGTGAGAGAAGAAGTGCAGCAGTTCTGTGTGGTGGTCTGCAGAACCATTTGCTAGTACAGGCAGTCCCCGAGTTACGCGGATCCGACTTATGTCGGATCCGCAGTTACGAACGGGGCTTTTCTCGCCCCGGAGGATGGGAGTGGCGGGACGCCCAGATGCGCCACGGTCCGCCGCCCCCATCCTCCGGGGCGAGAAAAGCTGCTCCCCGTCTCCCTGGTCTGCAGGGAGACGGGGAGCCAAGCCCTGGGG